ACCTGTTGGGACTTCAGGATGTAGTGAACACAGGTGGGCTCAGGTCATGTGTCAGTGGGGTTTGCTGTGGGGGTGCACCAGGAAGTAAGGAGGAAAAGAAACAGTCCCAGCAAACACACAGCCAGGCTTCATGGAAAACTGAAATGTTTCTTTAGACTGGGTTGTTCTAGGGACTGACCCACCAGCTACACAATGTGTGCTTGTTGTAAGACATGGCTTACATGAGGACTTGGCTGAACTCTGCTCCTCTTCCTTTTCTGTGCTTACCTTTCTAATGTCTTGTATTCAAATTTTTAGGAGAGAAACTAATTATGTTTTATATAGGGCTCCTTGGTAGCCAGACCTCTTACATAATGCAGTCCAGAACATCATTGCTCTTAAGTCAGCACCGCTAGAGGCCAGGACAGGAGGGTCACAAGGTACAAAGTATGTCAACCTCTGCATAAAGAACAACTTGTGGCTTTGTGGCTATAGCTGTAGTGAACATTAAATCCTAATGTCTAACTTATAGCAATATTCTCATGGATAGTTAAATATATAGAATAAGATTAGATGGTAAAACACTGCTTTTCACATAGTATCTGAAATTTTCATCCTGAAAGGCACTTTAGAGATTCTCTTTCTAACCTCCCACCTACCCTGCTGCTTCTCCTTATTTTAAAGGTAAGAATATTGAAAGTTAGAAATTATCTGAATGACTTCTTTAAGGGTGGGTAAGTGGTATGTCTGGGGAGAGGGAGCTGGATTAAAACCTTGACTTTGCCATTCCTGTAACTCTGTTCTTTTCACTTCCCGTGTTTTTTTGTTACAATCTCAGTGTTTGGAGGGATTTTTAAAAGCCTGGGGTAATATAGGCATTCAATTAGAAGTCTGTTAAATGGAGAAAGAAGTATAACCACTCATGTAGTTTTCCCCCTCCTTTTCCTTGCATGTTTCCATGTGTCAGGTGTTTAATCTTTTTTTAACTCTTCATTTTTGTTGTGAAATATTTTATATGTCAATAGATATGAGCATAAAAAGCCAATTCCATTTTCAGACATCTAATCTATACAAACTTTTCTAACATTAAATCAGAATTGACTCATGAGTACTCATCCATTATAATAGTGTACCTCTCCAAGAACAAAACAATACTAATATTTCTTCCTTGAAATACATACTTTAAGCTGTATCATATTGATGCTACTTTTTTCTTCACCAAGTGTAAGAATCTCCGGTTTCTTTGGCCATTTCTTATATAGCAAACTCTTTCTTTAGTTAACCGGTTTCCTCCTAAGGCATCTACAACTATGGTGTCCTAACTGTGGTTCCATATTAAAGAAAGATGATTATCTTCCTTATTCTGGAATGTTTATTTCTAATAACACACAAAAGTCTGAACTAACTTTTTGGCACTTGCATCACATTGTTCCCTTCTGTTGAGTTTACAGTCATAATTAATGATTAAAACAAAAAGTGTCTTTCTCACTTGTGGCTTTTAAATCATATTTCTCCTACCTTATACTCTGTTATTGCTGTTTAAAAATGAAGTGTGGGATTTTACATTTATCTCCATAAAATTTTACCCACAAGATTTGATCTATATTTCCAGCCTGTTAGGATCTTTTTAGATCTTGATTTTATCAAACATTGTTTATTCTTAGTCCTGTCAGCTTTATGTCACCTTCTGATTTGATCATCAGTGTATCCACCTATGTAATTCACAGAAATATTCAGTAGCATTAATCAGCTATGACCTTAACCAACAATGTTGCCATTAAACTGTATGTCAGTATATCCTAAGACTTGTCTAATTATTTATGTAAAATATAAACCCCATATGGCTACAGTATTTCTCTGGTAACTTACCAACCAGGAAGTCAAGTTAAGGATATCATGACTAGCTTTTAATGATCTCAGATTTACATGCTCAATAGACTGGCCTTTGGATAGAAATAATTTGTCAGAGTTTCAGAAAGTAGAGATTAGAAGGAGAGTATAGAATTGGTGAACTTCACTCTCAGGAATCGAGCAAAGTTAGAAATCAGTTAGGTTTTCTACTTAACATCTCAGCAAAGAAACTCATTATAACTAGAGTCTGAATGTATGATTCCAGGGATGTTACAAAATTTTAGTCTTAAATTCCTGTGTCCTTATTTGGTTATTCCCTGAATGCCTTCCTGAAGGACCATTAAAGTGAGAAAGCCCTGTACACTTTTCTTCAGAGACAGGAACAAAGAAGCCAGGGAGACTTAAGAGGTCAAAAAAGAATAGGTTGTGGCAATATCAAAGAGAAAAACAAAGCATGCAAAGTCCTTGAGGGATATGGCAAGGGAGCAGAATGAACCAAAAGACATGAAAAAAAAAAAAAAGAAAGAAAAAAGAAAGAAAATCCAGAATAGAATCCAGACTGTAACAGATTAACCTAACTCTTATTACAAATGAATGATACAGCCTCAGGGATGTTGGAATTGTCAGACTGAGAATTTAAAACAAATATGATTAATATGCTTAGAGCTCTAACGGATAAGTAGACACTATGCAAGAACACATGGGCAACATAAGGAGAGACATTGAAATCCTCAGACCCAAAAAGAAATACTAGAAATCAGAATCACTGTAACAGATCAGAAGAATGATTCTGATGAGCTTTTTATGGTAGACGTTTTATGGCAGCTGAGGAAAGAATCCCTAGGCTTGAGGGTCACAATAGAAACCTCAAAAACTGAAGAAGGAAAAAAACCCTCAAAAACTGAAAAGCAAAAAGAACAAACAACTGGAAAAAAAAAAAAAAGAAGAAAGAAACAAAGAAAGAAAGCCGAGAATATCCAAGGACTGTAGAACAACTGTAGAAAGTGTAACATACACATACTGGGAGTACCAAAAGGAAAAGAGAGGGAGGAATAGAAGAAATATTTGAAACAGTAATGACTGAGAATTTCCTCAATAAATGCCCAAAAAAGAACTCTATAGCTGGGCATATTATTTTCAAACTGTGGAAAATCAATGATAAAGAAAAAATTGGGAAAGAAACAAGAGGGAAAAAACACCTTACTTGCAGAGGAAGAAAAATAAGAACTATGTCTGAATTTTCTTCAGAAACCATGCAAGGAAGGAGAGAATGGAGTAAAATATTTAAAGTGTTGAAAGGAAAAAAATACCCAACCTAGAATTCTCTACAGTGTGAGATGATGCTTCAAAATTGAAGGAGAAATAAAGATTTTTCTCACACGAACAGAAATTGAGGGAATTTGTTGCCATTAGGACTGCCTTGCAACAAATATTAAAAGTTCTTTAGTTAATGTATGTTTTGCCCTAGATTTTCTTTTTAGCAGAGAAGTGGGCCAAGCAAGTGGGACAGGTGGCTCATGCTCAAAAGACCCAAACCCTGAATGTGTTCTATCTTGGTGAAGGTTCTATTACAGCTTGAAAGAATTCTGTTTTTGGAGGAAGTAACCTATAGATGTCCATTATCCAGTCAGTTGATGGTATTGTTGAGTTCAGCCATGTCCCTAGTGATTTTTTGCCTGCTGGATCTATTTCTGATAGGGGGCTTGGAGACTCCAACTGTGACAGTGGATTCATCTGTTTGTCCTAGCAGTTCTACTAGTTTCTGCTTTATGCAGTTTGACACTCTGTTGTTAGGGACATACATGTGAAGGATTGTTATGTCTCTTAGAGAATTGCCCCCATTATCATTACATAATACCCTTCTTTACCCCGAATAACTTCTTGCTGTGAGGTCTGCTCTGTCTGAAATTACAGTAGTGACTCTTAGTTTCTTCTGATTAGCGTTAGTATGATTTTTTTTTCTGTGGATTCACTTTTAACCTATATATGTCTTTATATCCAAAGTGGCTATTTCATAGACAGCGTGTAGTTGGGCAGTGTTTTTTGATCCACTCTGACAGTCTCTGTCATTTAATTGATATGTTTAGACTGTTGATCAAACATTCAAAGCATTACTGATATAATTAGATTAATATCCACCACATTCTTTGCTGTTATATTTGTTGCCCTTACTCTTTTTTCTTAGTTTGGTCTTCCACTCTTTTTTCTGCCTTTTGTGATTTTAATTGAGTATTTCATGATTCCTGTGTTTCTCCTTTCTTAGCATATCAGTTGTATTTTTTAAAGCTTTTTTAGTGATTTCCCTAAACTATGCAATACATATTTACTACTAATTGAAGTCTACTTTTAAATAACACTGTACCTTTTCATGGGTTTTGTAAGTACCTTATAATAACAAAATAATTCTAATTCCTCCCTCCCATCTCTTGTGTCATTACTGTCATTCATCTCACTCACACACTAGCATACATGTGTATATGTAAGAAATATACATAAGCAGACATAATTGAATAGATTGTTGCTGTTACTTTGAACAAACTGTTATCCATTAGATCAATTAAGAATGAGAACAATAAAAGTATTTTACCTTCACTTATTCCTTCTTTGATGTTCTTCCTTTCTTTATGTAGATCTAAGTTTCTGATCTATATTATTTTCTTTCTTTCTAAAGAACTTCTTTTATTATTATTATTTTTAATGGAGGTCCTGGAGATTGAACCCAGGACCCTGTGCATGCTAAACATGAGCTCTACCATTCTATACCCCTCCCCCTAAAGAATATTCCATGTTCATGGATAGAAAGATTCAATATGGTCAAGATGTCATTTCTTCCAAACTAGATCTATAGATTTGATGCAGTCGCAATCAAAATCCCAGTAAGTTATTTTGAGGATATTGAAAAAAATGATTCAAGTTTATATGGAGAGGCAAAGGTCCCAGAATAGCCAGCACAATACTGAAGGAAAAGAACACAGTTGGAGAAACGACACTACCTGACTTCAGGACTTACTCTAAAGCTACAATAAACAATACAAGGTAATAGTGTTTGAGGACTAGACAGACGTATCAGTGGAACAGAATGGAGTGTGAAGGAAGACTCCGTATAATCAGCCGATCTCTGAGAAAGGAGCAGAGGCAGTGTAATGGGGCAAAATCGTCTTTTCACTAGTTGGTGGTGGAACAACTGAACATCCACATACAAAAACAAATCTACACCCTCCCACCCTTCAGAAACATTAACACAGACCTTATTGTAGACCTAAAAGTAAAACACAAAACTATAAAACTCCTAGAAAATAACAGAAGAAAACATAGAAGACCTTGAGTATCACAATGACTCTTTAGACACAACACCAAAGGCATGATCTATGAGAGAAATAATTGGTAAGCTGCACTTCATTACAATTAAAAACTTCTGCTCTGTGAAAGACAATATCAGAAGAAGGATAAGAAAGTCACAATGGGAGAGAAAATATTTGCAAAACACACTCACTTTAAAGGGCTGTTGTCCAAAGTATATAAAGAACTCTTAAAACGCAACAGTAAGAAAAAAATATTTGAATAAGCCAAAGACCCTAACACATGCCTCACTAAAGAAGATACATAGATGGCAAGTAAGCATATGAAAAAGATGTTCCACATCATATGTTATTGGGCAAATGCAAATTAAAACAAAAATGAAATGTCACTACACACTTACTAGAATGGCCAGAATCAAAAATTGGTCAGTCTAATTTATCATATTAACAAAGTAAAAAAGATACCATATGATCATCTCAATACATGAAGAAAAAACATAAAACAAAATCCAACATTCATTCCTAATAAAAATTCTCAGCAAACTAGGAATAGCCGGGAACTCCCTCAAACTGATAAAGGGGAATGTATGAAAAAATCTACGACTAACATCATGCTTATCGATGAAGCACTGATTGCTTTGTGCCTAAAATCAGGAACAAGACAAAGGTTTCTACTCCATGACTTCTATTCAGCATTGTACTTGAAGTGCTAGCCAGTGCAGTGAGGCAGAAAAAGAAATAAATATACATCCAGACTGGAAAGTAAGAAGTAAAAGTGTCTTTTATCATGGACGTGATCATTGCTGTAAAATCTTAATGGAACCTCCAGAAATCTGTCAGAACTAGTAAACATCAAAAATACAAAATACCTAGGGACAAATCTGATTTTTAAAATATATAAAAACTTGTAGACTGAAAACTCAAACCACTGCTAAGAAATTAAAGACCTAAATAGAAGGAGAAGCACACCTTGTTCCTGATTTAAAAGACTCGGTATCATTAAGGTATCAGTTCTTCCTTAATTGATGTGTATTTAGATTCAGTGCAATCACAGTCAAAATCCCAGTCAGCTTTTTAAAAAATAGAAATTGACAAACTGATTATAAAAGACGTTATTTACTTAATATTGAAACCAGGTAGAACAACATGAGTCTTCACTGGATAACGTGATAAATGGCAACTGTTCTGTGTTGTACAAGGTGACTCAGGGGGTCATCTCACCCCTCTTTCTCTTTGCTACTCCAGCTGCTCTCCAGTACCTGTCCTTTGTTTTACATACTGAGCTTGTGTAAAGTTACCTTAGAAGAAAAGATTTAGTTTTCTTCTATAAAAAGTTTTAAGATTACAGGTTTAAAGTATTGCTGTCTTATAAGAACTGCTTTCGTGTATTTAAAGGTAGAGGACATAGTGAAATAAATGAGCTTCCTCAAAGAGATCTGAAAATAACTATTGGAAGAAGAAACATACCTCAGTGACAGCAGAGAATTATGAAGTAATTACTGCTAATCAGGAAGCTTCCTAATGGCAAAGATGACAAAGGAGTCGTGAAACATTTATCAGAGTTAGAATTTAGCCAAATAAAAAAGTTGAAGGGGAAACCCTCCATTCACTTTCGTAAAAACTCCCTGACTGGCTTAAAATTAATTTTAAAATATTCAAGTCAATATTAGATAAAGTATAAAATTCATAAGCAAAAATAAATTTAATGACAAAATAGTTGTAAGTACTAAGTAGGCTTTTCTTACCTATTATGTACTATAAAATGACCTCATTGTAATGTGGCTCTACTTTTTTTAATTCACGTTTAGAGCAAAATTTGAAATGATGCATCAGATATGAAAATAACTTCAAGTGTCATTTCACTTACAGGTCTGCATTACATTTACTGAATTTGGAAAAATGCAAAATATTTGTAACTTTCTGGTTGAAAAGCTAGATAGCTCTGTTGTCATCAGCCAGCCCCAGTTCTATCATACTCCAGGTTCTGTTGAGAATCTTCGGTAAGTTAAGCACATCTTTAACTAAATTATCAATTAATTAAACAGAACTATTCAGTGCTGCTGTTCTTTGAATATCGTATTAATAATCTTTGCATTTAATTCCTAAGACGGCAAGCCTGTCTTGTTGCTGTGGAGAATGCATGGCGCAAAGCTCAAGGAGTCTGTAACCTTGTTGGCCAGACCCTAGGAAAACCTTTACTAATCAAAGAAGAAGAAACAAAGAATGGGAAGGCCAAATAGACGATCACCAGTCACCCAGACTCTCAAGCTCTCCAACTGTACAACAGAAAATCAAAAGTGCAACAATACATGCTGCTTCCAGAGTATTTGTAACTTTTGAAGTAAAGGGGAAAGAGAAGAAAAAAAACATATCTGAAATTCTGACCAAAATGCATTGTATTCATATCTTTGTCTATTTTTATACTTTTTATAATGTTTGCTTTTTTCAGAATATATATATTGTACAGTATATAAAAGTGTTTCTCTTCTGAATCTGTCAACCCTTGAATATAGTTCCACAGAATACTTACGTTTAATTTCTATTCTCACAAACTTACTATGGGAAATACTCTTTGGAAATAAATGTGTTATACGTACACACTTGTATACTGACAGTTCATATAAGTGCATGTGTTAATAATTTTATATTTCTACCACAGGAAGAAATACACAGTTATTAACACGATTCTTAACATTTAATAAAAAAATTAATGAGCAATACGTAACTTTTGATTAAAGGATAATGAGATATACTAAGAAAATATTTTGATGCCAGACATAAAAGACAATATAGGAACAAGCCTGTTTCTCCAGGACTCCTTTGATTATACCAGCACTCTCTGGTACAAATATAATGCAAGCCATATATGTAATTTAAAATTTCCTAGTAGACACATTTTTTTAAAAAGTAAAAAACAGTTGAAACTAATTTTAATACTGTTTTATTTAATCCAGTATATCCAAAATATTATCATTTCAGCATGTAGTCAATATTTAAAAATAATTAATGGATTTTTATATTCTTTTTATACTAATTTTTCAAAATCTAGTGTATATTTTATATTACAGCATCTATATTATATTACGTTATAATTATATTACATCTCAATTCAGATATTACATTTTCATCAGAAATACTTGATCTGTGTTTAAGTTTCCTCAAATGTAGTTGAAAAAAGATTCACCCACCCAGGTTGTTCCAGACATGCTTGAAAAACCTAGTAACTGGATCAAGTGTCAGTTTTTAAATTAAAATTTGTAAAAATTTGAAATTCAGTTTCTTGGTTGCACTAGCCACATTTCAGGGACTTGAAAGCCATGAATGGCTAAACGGCTGCTGTGATGGACAGTGCAGGTTTCTGCACTGAGAGCGTACTGATCCTTAGGACTGTTTGCGATGTGACAGCAAGTGCCTGTCACTGCTGCTGCACTACACCCCGTTGGCAGGTGTTGTCTGAAAGCCACCTGTTAACGCAGCACAGGCTTTCCTTTCCCCACCATACAGCTGGGTCCTAGGGTTTTTCCTTTGATATATCTTGATACCCAATTTCCCAATATTTCTTTCCTATAACATATTTCTACAAAAGTATGTAGTTTCCATTCCCATCTACTTTCAATGTAAATAAATAAGACCTAGAAAAATAATTTTTCATTTACGATTCTATACCTCATATTCCATAAATATTGTTATGTCCTCCTCGGAAGTGTAGGTTGAGGATATCCCAACTCTGTCAGGCTTGATGAAAATGTGATAGTGAGAAATTCTCACTGGCCTAAAAAAATAAAATAAAAACAATGAATTATGAAGTCAAAATGGGGAGTTAACATATTTATTATCTACATTATAAAATTATATGGGAGACAAATGCTTTATTACTCATTCCAGAAAAAACTATGTAAATTAGTTTAATCAAAGTGGCACTTATTATCTTATTCATATTATATTTGTAACAAAACAGTTTCTACACATAATCTATTGTGGCCTAAACCACTTCAACCTGTTTAGCTGTGTTAAAAGACTAGAATTCACTGTGGCTAATCCAGGTCGAACACTGTCCTCAGGGTGAGTTAATAGACACTTCAGGAGGGATTATTTGTACTGCTTTGTTAAAAGAGTAAGATCCTGCTGTAAGCTGTTTAGCAGGAGGAAATTTCTGTGTCAGGTGCTCTTTTAGAGCTCTGGCTTCAGCACCCCACCAACAACGAGCCCTAGATAGCCGTGTCTCTGTGGGTGAGCACCAGTCCCACCTCACAGGAGCACATGCTGGCTTTGGACTTCGGATGTGAGTTGGTTCTGTTATAACAGTGAAAAAACAAAAAGACTAATCAAAAACATGTTAGTTGCTACGCAGAGTTGATGATTTATCAGTTTCATATGTTCAGTACAATTAATAAGAAGCAATATTAGTGAACCAAAAAAACTAAAATTAGTTTCCACACTAAGAGATTAAAGCCTCGGTGGCAGGAGAAAATATTAACCTAAATGATCCTAAAACAAAGTAGTGATCCCTGAATTTTAAAAAGTCCTCCAAATAGCATGTTACTTACCATCTGGCGGCAGTGCAGGGGTGTGTGTGTGGCCATTTTTTAAACTATAGAGATTCTGTCACTACCCTCTGCTCCCTCCCTTCTACAAACAATTTTGTGCAAAAGAGAAAAAACAGATAAATAGTTCCAGTACTTCAAACATAAAAATTTACACTGATCACATTAATCATCTCCTAATTACTTTCTTATCTGTCTCTGCACAAGACTATGATAAACTTCTCAAGAGGAGGGCTGTGTCTTAAACACTTCCTTACACCTGGCTAATAAAAGGCTAAGAGGAGGAAAAGCTGGCTGTCAGTTATTCTGCTTCATTCCCAAATCAGAATAGCATTTACAGCCGTGCACCTGAGCGTTTGTACACATAGAAGTAGAGAGGGCAAATGCAGGGCACTGATTCCAGAATCAAGTACAAATATAATTTTCTAAAATAGGCTTTGAAAGTTAAATTAATGGTAATGGAAACAAATTCAATTTAAACATCTGTTTATAAAAAATTATAAGTTAACTGAATTTATTAGATGGAGTTTTATAGTCATTGCAGTCAGAATGTCAAAAACAACTTTCCCTGAGCAGTGTGTTATGGCCTATTTTTTTTTTCTTTTGGCTCTAGTTCACTTTTTCTTTACATAACCACCTTTTTCCCAAACAAGCAACATTAGCAGAACACAAGGCAAAGATACCTTGCTGGTGACCATCCTATTCAATTTTCTTTTGCAGAGATTCTTCTCAGTAGCCAGCTGAGTTCATGCTGTGCTTGCACATTTTCTCTAATAGGCTTTTATTTCTCCAAAGCTTAGCTTTCTCAGAAGAGAGGTCTGTTGCTATGCAACACCAACGCCAGACGTACTTTTGTCTAAACTAGTCTCTTAAATTGTTTCAGAACCTATGTTCCTTTTAAGCTCACCGGCTCAGCTCTAAGTGAGCACCTTGGCCCTTAACCTCGTACCTCCAGTGAGTGATTATCCCTGTGCTGCACATTGCTCACCAAAAGGCTGTAACAGACTCTCAGGGCAAGCTGCTTTGGAAATTCTGACTGCAGCCACATAAAACCGTGTCTAATAAATTCAGTTAACTTACAGCTTCTAATAAACAGATGCTCAAAGTGAATGTTTCTATTACCATTAATTTTACTTTCAAAACCTATTTTAGAAAGATCATATTTGCACTTGGTATAGCAATAATGAATTTGTACCTCCTACAAAAACAGTTTTTATGCTTTTATTTTTACTGAGTCAAGTCATTTTTTTTTGTAATTCCATTTTAAAGGAATGAAATGATTCAAATAAATCAACCCTAACCCAAGTAAGTAAATAGCATCAAAAGAAAATTTCTCTTGGTTTATGCTAAACTAATTATGAAAATTCTTAAGTATTACGTTCTATATTGGAGTAGGGAATGAAGTATAATTAAAGTTGAATAAATTGATACAAAATTAAATACTAATCAAATAAAATAAAATCAAAATACAAAATCATCTTAATATATCAAATGTTCACTAGCTCAATACCAACGGGGTGAACATAGATTTCATTGTATCTATTCCCAAAATGATGAAGATGCAGTGATACAGATTAATATGTTCTGCAGAGAAGCCAATATGAATATGCAGCTGAAACCTTTGAAAATTTTATTCGCAAACCACAAAAGTCAGCATATATTTGAGGAATAACTATTTGTTTCATTTTGGGAGACTATTAAGACCTCACAATATTGTCAGATAATTTACTCTTAAGCATTACATTCATTTAAAATTCATTAAAACTCAGTTGTTTAGTACTTTTGTTTGAATAAGAAATAGAGAATTCATTATCTCACTTTTTTATTAAATGCACTAAAATTTATTTTACTATATTCTCATTCTTCTGAAATGGATTGTTTTCAATATTTTTAAATATATTTTTATTAAATTACAGTCACTTTACAATTTGTGTCAACTTCTGATGAATAGCATAATGCTTCAGTCATTCATGAACATACATATATTCATTTCATATTCTTTTTCACCATAAATTACTACAAGGTATTGAACATAGTTTCCTGTGCTATACAGTATGAACTTGTTGTTTATATATTTTATATATATATTAGTAACTGCAAATCTTGAACTCCCAGTTTATCCCTTCCCACCCACCCCAGTAACCATAAGTTTGTTTTCTATGTCTGTGAGTCTGTTTCTGTTTGGTAAATAAGTTCATTTGTGTCATTTTTTTCAGATTCCACACTTAAGTGATATCATATGGTATTTTTCCTTATCTCTCTGGCTTACTTCACTTAGAATGATAATCTCCAGGTCCATCCAAGTTGCTGCAACTGGTATTATTTTATTCTTTTTTATGGCTGAGTAGTATTCCATTGTATAAATATACCACAACTTCTTTATCCAGTCATCCGTTGATGGACATTTAGGTTGTTTCCATGTCTTGGCTGTTGTAAATAGTGCTTCTGTGAACATTGGAGTGCATGTATCTTTTTGAATTACGGTTCCCTCTGGATATATGCCCAGGAATAGGATTGCTAGATCATATAGTAAGTCTATTTTTAGTCTTTTGA